ATCCTCCATTACTGTCTTTTTCTGTTTCCACAATCCTTTCTGTGCTCCTTTTTGCTTAGTGGTTTCTTCCTCTAAACAATCATAGTCTATGGTCAGAAGAGAATTTGGACAAGCTATTCACAGAATATTAAGAAAAAAAATACAGTAGCTGTCATTTATTCTACAAATTGTGAAAACTAACAAATTTGCTATCGCTATAAAGACCTATGGGTAAAATTGGAAAGGGAAAGCCATGGATGTATACCAGACAATTTCTCTGAAACTAAATAACCATGAAGGGCTTTCCTACCTGAATTATATTGTCAGTGGAGAAACTGACTGAGAAAGTAATGTGTGGGGGAAGAAACTGACTTAGAAGAAATTTTACACTCAAGGGGTTACTCAATGCATGCCTGTTAATTTGTTAATTGAAGAAAATCTGTGCAACTAGGGAGGTTAAACATGTTAGCATGGTCAGATTTATGTGTATTTTGATAGTGGACAAAATGAGTGAAATAAAAGGACTAAAACTGAGAATTATTGAGAAAAATGGAGGGAAGCAAAAGTAGTATTTGAGACTTACACAATCATTACTATTTGACATTTCATCAAATAAATATTATTTGATAATATATAATAATATTTATTTGATGAAATAAAGAGAATATTTGGGGAGATCAGAGTTTATTAAAAAGTCATAATGCACACTTGAGATTCTTTTAAATAAAAATATTAAATCAGATTCTGAAACTCTAAGTGACAAAGAGGAACAGAAAAATGTAATGAAGGTATAATTTAAAAGAACTAACATCTTCATATAGCTGAAAGAAGAAAGAAAACCTACTTAAAATTATCAAATACAAATACTAATTCTCATCCACATAGCAAAGGTCCATAAATGTATAAAATATTTTATTATGTTTTGATACTGTAATTATAAATACAAACTATTTGTCCAAGAAGCTAATACTGTCACCATTGAGAATTTGTATCAGTTTTTTTTTTCTTTTTAAAATTTAGATTGCCTTCAGAGCACTATCCTGATAACTGTCCCAGATTTAGGGTCTTCATATTCACTGCTCAGGATAGCTGGCAATCAAAAAGGATTTTCTGATTCCCTCCAAATATCTAAATAAATGAATTCATTGTGTACACTATTTTGTTCAGTGTCCAGTACTTATGGATATATCTCTACCTCTACCTCTGTTTCTGTCTCTGTCTCTGTCTATGTCTATGGCTGTGCCTGTATCTATACCCAATTCTATAACTATCCATAGGTTTATGCATATATATCTATACATAATTAGTGTTCCCAATTTTGATACAACTGAATTTGTGCTAATACCAATAAAACGTATTATTGAAGTATATAATATTTAACACTATTTATATACTATCATTATAATCACAATAAATGTAATTTGTTATCTTCTAAAAATATTAAATAAATCATCATAATAATATAAAGGTTACTATAAACTTGACACTTACTAATGCAATTTATATTTTGCATAGCAAATATAAAATTAATACCAAAATATTTTGACTTTGTATGTAATTAATAAACATAACAGTTTTCACTGTGTATGTTAAAAAGTGGTCCTATAATATCTAAAAGTTTGTGATATCATTCCCACGTCACTTAGGTTGATTTACATAACTACTTGTATGTTTTTATTTATATTTTGTGCTGAGTAGAACTTAATGTTATATAATATGATTTATACGAATAATAATCTTACTTTTTCAGCAATAGTATCTGTGAGTCATCACCTCGTTATTAGTAATACAAGTAATTACACCTTGTAATTCTGAAAAATGTAATTAGTAACATTCAAAAAAGCCATTGTCAGCTTCTATTCATTTCAAGAATTATGATATAATTCCAACTCACCTTTGTGCTACCTTTTGGAGACTGTTATATAGCATGTTATTAAATCTAGGTTTTAATATGAAAATATGCTTAGGTTCACATATTCATAGCTAGTGTAGGCTAATCTTTTTATATTTAGGTGCAGTACTTTGTTTAAGTAAGCATTGCATTGGTCTTTTCATAATCTGGTATTCTCTAGTCTAATACGTTGCTCTGTAGTTTTAGCTTTTATGTTTTTAATATATATTATCACATGATTAAATAATTGAATGAAAGATAAATAAAGAACACTAAGAAATGTTATTAGTCTATATCTCTAAATCTTTATTAATAATTAAAATATTAGATAAAACTTCATTATTTCCTGCTATAAATTCTGGTGTGAATTGACCACTGGCAGTTAAATAAACAGTTTTAACTCTGGAATACTAAACATGCTTGTCACAAAAAATGGAGTAAATTTTCACACCAAATACAACTGAGTATTTGAACTTAGGTTAATTAACTTATTGTCATGATCTTTAATATTTGATCAAAGGGAGGAGCTTTTGTTTGGAATTACAAAAGAAAATGAATGATGGGGCTAGGAAGATGGAAGAAACTGAAAGCTAATGAATACTGCAGGGTCCAAGTTTATCAAATACTCCAGGATATCAAAATCTACGGACAATTTTGGGAAAATATTCTAAACATAAAACAAAAACTTTTAAAATTAAAAAAGGCAAAAAAATCATTTCCTATCTTTTGCATTTTTAATTCAGTTTTGAAATTAGTATCGAAATTCCTCAATTGATTTAAAAGATATGTAATGTTATGCTATAAGATATGGATATAATACTATTATTGATATAGAGAGCTCTTTATTTGCCATGTACTTTTCATAATTGGTCTCAATCAAATGTTCAAAATAATTGGCCAGCCAAGGACTTCTTAAAGGTTGGTCAAGTCAATATTGACAATATTATTCTCTGAGTGTAATTTTCCTGTCTTTTAAAAAGTTAGAATATATATTTCTATGTTAAAATAAAGACACAACATGGTGGGGAAAGAGCCATCTAGACAATATGATCCAGAACAAGCACCACTAAAATGTATCAAATTAAAACAACCAAGCCTTTATACCAACCTAAAAAGCTTGTTTTGTTGTGGGCTAAGTGAAGTGGGGAAGTGAGGAAGTCTCTTTATAAATAGACTATACCACTGTCTTTCAGGGATCCTCCAGATACCCAATCAGCACTAAAAGGATGTGTACAGACAGAAGACACTATGTTAGGTATGAGAATCAGGTCTGTGTCTGTCCTCATTCAGGAAGAACATTCACAAACTTTTCACTGTGCGATTAATTTGAACATTTAGTATTAGACAGATATCTTGGGTCTTCTTTGAAAGTTCAGTCTGTTCTCTGCCTGACATCTATTTGGTTATCATTCTCTAACATTTGAGACAGTCCAGTTTTGATAAAAATGAGCAGAGTATGGCATGAAAGCATTAAAGGGAAGCCAACATGCAATTTAAATATATATTATTAATAGTTGCCAAGAAATTTGTAAATAAGATGCCATTTGCTAAGATGTTAGCTTCTATTTTAAAGACTGAAATGTGGAGTAGATCCTAAATATTTTCATCCAATTAAAGAAGCAGGACATTAAAAACAAGCAACAACAGCAACAAATCTAGGAGAATAAAACAGAACTGTGTAAATCCAGTTAGAAATTTAATTTGCATCCAAAAGACCACATTATTTCAAGTTCACAGAGAATTCTAAAGATTGTCATTAAAATGAAAGCCACCTTTTAAAAGCTTATGCTTAACCTTAAAGTAACTACATATTTATATAAGGGAAATATATTTATCATAGCTATAGGATAGTTTATATTATGGAAAGGATTATACAGACTAGTGAAAATAACTCCCAATTAAGTTTATTATCATGCAATATATTCATTAAAAATTTAAAAATTATAAATAGAAATCAGAAATAATGAAATAATTTTGTTCATATTTCAGTTTACTTTTTCATTTATTTTATACTCAATGCTTAATCCTCTGATTAAACAAGAACTAATATCATCAAAACAAAAGTAGATTTACAAAATTAAAGGAAAACCAGAAAGTCAATATTTGTTTATTGTTTCTATAATAATACAAATAAGAGCAAATGTAAAATACTTTGCTAATAACACACATATTAAAAGAAAGAGGACAAACAGGGCAAAAGGGACAAAAATTTATAAATCAAATCAGGAAACAGATTTTCCTTTTAAATAAGAGAAACTTAGACCTTTCCTTCGCCAGTTGATACTGTTTGTTTCAGATGGCAAAATGCTGATTAAGAAAGTACTGTGCAAAGCCAGACAATAAGAGAACTATTCATTTTAAGCCACTTTTAAAAAAGAGAAGAAGAAAAAACACAGAATCAAAACCCCTTTTTTTACTCTTTTAGGGAGAAATTCACTAAACAGTGCATTTAAGGGTAAAAAACAGCATATAAAATGTTTTCCCTCAGGGGTTGCATTAGGAACATACATCACAGTGATTCCACAAGTGCTAAGTTCCTTTGTACAAAGTTGAATAAATCCATTATTTCCTTAGCAGTTATATGGACTCAGTCTTCGTTCCCCGAATAACAGAAAGATCTGATGCAAATAGCTGCTCCCTTGCTCCCTCTGTCCCATTTACAATGACTGTCGCCCCCAACAGAGCAGCAAAGGGGCACAGCAAACACGTGAAGTGTTCACATTCCTCCTACAGAATGAGCTTCACAGTAACTTGCATCTCTACACGAGGATGTAAATTAAGAGCAACTTACCCGACTCACTGATGATAAAGTTTGCAGCGAGTGGAAACCATGCAATACTTCAGGGAAATGCAGTATGCAGCTGCTGCTCCAGGCTGTAAATTGGACCGCACTGACATTACAATCAACTGTTACTGACAAAGCTCGCGAGAGTTGGCAACAGCAACTTGATCTAGAGGCAGCCAATCTTCACTTTCTGACATCTGTTCAGAGGCTAATAGTATGAATGCAGTAGTAGTTCATTTACAAAAGTATTACCGAGGCAGGCTTATGATTGCCGGCGCTTATCTAAAAGTGGAGGGAAAAAAATACAGAACCTTCTGTAACAGACGTTGAAACTGAACAGAAAATAGTTTTTTTTTTTTAACATAACCAGATCTTTTATGATTTTTTTCCTCTTTTATGGAATATACATCTTTGTTATGCTCTTTTTGATTTAAAGATATACATGTTGTTTTAAAGAAGTGCTGTTATGAAATCTTTGTTCCTTCGATCTGTGCCGATGATGTAGTTATAAAGGAGTGTAAAAGATTAAACAGGAAACAAAATAATTACTCTGTAGGTAAAGCTAAGAAAATCAAAGGACTAGTTGTATTAATGAATGAACGTCTTTAATATGTATGTCCTGCCAACCTCCACGCCCCAGCACTCATTTAAATTACACGAAACTCAATGTTGGTGATTCCCCAATCAGCGAGCCTGCAGGCAGTCAAGTGTAACGAGAAGCCACGATTTTCTGGTCTAGACAAGGAAAATACACCGAAGAGTCGTCACTAAACTTTACAGAAAAGACATGTTTGTCAGCTGAACGTGGCGGAACTCTCCAGGAGGTATTTATGTCTCTCAGGCTTATCTTCCTTGAATTAGGTATTTGGGAAAATGAAAGAACAACAACAACAACAAAAAACCCAAAAACAAAAACAAATCCTTTTTTATTAACTGTTTAATACTTGACTTCCCAACGCAGTTACATTCTTTATCTCTCGCAAATGCAAATGATGACTTTCACTTTTAAGTCTCATTTTTGGGCTCACTGTTGGCTAACAGGTAGGCATGCAATTGTAGGTAAGGCCATTTTTTGTTTTTAAAACATACTGTTTTTGTTTTTTAAACATAGTGTTTAAAATTTCAAACATGCAAATGTAAAAATTGCCATTTGTTATTAGTACTATCTTGTGCGTGTCATTATAATTGACAGTATATATAAATTATTTTGTTTTACTCTGGCAATATATGAGTTAAATATTACTAACCACATTTTCAGATGAGGACACTAAAACTGCCTAAAGATCAGAAACTTGGCTGTATATATCTGATTCCTCCTGGAATCAGAATTTTAACCTAGATTTGTCTGGTGTCATTTCATGTCAACTCTTTCCAAGATGGTGAAGGAGTATAAAGCAAACTAACCAACTGACTTCCCTGATACGAAACTGTTTGCCGAGAATAACTTTAACCCAGAGGTTATGCTCCAGGAAGGAGATAACAGGCTGATAATCTCAGAAGAATGGACAGACCTCCAGAGTTCCTCCTGAAGATTCATTAAGGTGAAGAGGAATGTAGCGCTGATTGTTATCACCTTTTCTGTTCCTTCCAGTTTTTCTACAAAAGGGGTTAAGACCCCAACCCCTAGATGAGCTCAGAGCCTTTAAGGCATTATCCTGCTGTGACTCCCTTTGCCAGGCAAGGCACTGAAGCTGCTGTTTTCTTTGCTCCCAAAACTCTGCCTCCGAGCTCTAATTCACTTTCCATGGTGCAGAGGACAATTTTTTGGTAACAATAGTAGCCACTTTGGTCTTTTAAAGTTCTCTTTCCTGGGAAAATTGCTGCTTAGCAGGCATTTATTAAGCAATGACTTTCACAATCACAATGATTCATATTGTGTTTTGAATATAGTTCATTGTAATGACAAAGTTTTAGAATGTATGGTCTATCTAAAAGGGAGAAAAAAAGTTACACAAAGTTTTAGAATGTATGGTCTATCTAAAAGGGAGAAAAAAAGGTTTTTTTCAGACATGGTACACTGACAGTTCTGCAATGGGTACTTAAGTGATGGTATTTCTGTTTAAAATATAGTCACTCTGGTGACCCATGTGAAAGAGAGTTCATTAGTTTAATATATGTTACTTTTTTATCCAAATGTCAAAATTCTTTCCTGTCACACAGCTCCACTAATTGTTTTCTATGCGGGCATGTGACTGGTCTTATTCCCAAACCCTGCAATTGCTGAGGGATGCTTTTGATGTTACTGAGTTCAGCAGAGCAGTTTCCATGCTCTTAATACCCCTCACCACAATGAAAAGATATCACATATATACATAGTTGGTTTTCATCTTTAAATGGGAAGCGAAACAATAAAATAATCCATTACAAGATTTTAATCTTTAACACATATTTAAACTAGGTGACTAGCAACAATAACTGATTACAAAATCTGGCAATTTTTCTTCCACCCAATATCTTTGCTTCAGTGAACCATCTCTAGTTAACTGTCTCTTTAGTTCATTTGTCCTCATGATTTCTCAAGTATGTCACATTATTCGATGCATTACTGCAGTGCATTTCTTCTTCCTGTCTTATTGGAGGACTTCTTCCTTTGTGCCTCAACATACAGCTGCTACGTTACTTCTGTGATGTCATTATTTTTTTCACACGGAGCCATCAGAAGGATGGTCGCAGGCAGTGAGTTTTGTTTCAGGCTTAGTAGACAAGCACTATTCTGTTACCTGACAGCCTTGATGGCTAATGATCATGCTGTTAGATGCTGAGAATGCCCTGTAAGTAACACTCCTGAAATACCGCAGATACTTGACACAACATTCATACCGCTCAGGTTTTGCAACCATATAAGCTGAAACTCTGGCAAGGCACCCCTTACGGTCTTGACTGTGAACATTTTCTGTTAGTCTCTTACAGAGGCTTTTTGCTTTTAACGTTTCACTATAACAGTTACCACTGGTCTGGTTGTTTTCTACGTAGCAGCATTGAAGGAGGTTTGAGACAGTATGGGAAAAAATCATCCCGTATTATACATTAGTCTTCCTTAGGCATATTCATGGCACAAAAATGCCCTTATGTTTTATAAATACTTCTAATTTTTTATAAGAACAATGCCTTCTCTAAAGAAAATATGGCTTCAAAAAATACCCAATATTTTACATTTCACAAAGATGGGAAAGATCACTTGATGTATTCCATTTTAGATTTTTAAAAATCAAAATACACAGTTATATGTATAGTTATATATAATAATAGTCAAATTGTTATTATAATTCTCCTATTTTTAAATTTTATTTCATAATACTAATTTTTATTAAAATATTGTAATGACTGAGAGATATATTATCAATGATTACACCATAACTTATTGTACTATTGTTACTTATATGAAGATAATAATAATTTGCAAACACTGTCCTAAGCACTTTGAATATATTAACTGTTTTAAAACTCAAAACCACCTTTTAAGTAAGTACTATTATTATCCCAACTTTATGGTTCAGGAAATTTAGCCCCGAAAGGTTTAGTAACTTACCAAAAATCACACAAGTAATAAAGTATTTGCTAATTTTTTAATGTAAATACTATTACAGTTGGCATTTTTGTAACTTTGGCTTATTTTCTTAGTTTATTTTCCCAGAAGTGGAATAACTGAATGTAACTAGTAGAATGTAGTTTTGGGGGGAAGTTTTTTTGCTTGTTTGTTGTTTGTTTGTTTGTTTTTGCAATTTTCTGAAGTCCTCAATAGACTGTTGAATAAGAATAGGTTTCCAACAATTCTGGCAAGAGGGGAAAGATTCTTAATCAGAGTAAATCTGAGCAGAAAGACTAGGCATTCAAACCTGGATGTGGCAGGTGAGGTATTGGGTATTTAAATGTAGATTTCTTGACATATTTGAAAAGTGCTCAACCCTACAAGCAACACAATTCTTTAAGAGTATGGCTGCACCTAATACGGAAGCGCCTGCAGGCAGTGACAGGCACTCCTACTTTAGTAGGAGGTAAAACAAAGATTTCTTGGAGTCAAAGGAGAGTGAATGGTGGTGAGACAGGAGGGAAAAGAGGAGGGCACAACAAATGAAAGAATGACATAGCAGTTAGCACCAAGATGGTGAAAGATTCAACTCCCAGTAGACCTTGAGCTTCATCATATGCTCATTGTAATACATTAGCTGCTAACTGGGACTCCTATAGGTGCCATGGCAGTTACAAGGTTGACCATAAAAGGTCAAAAAGTAGGTGATGACCCAATTCCTGGGAATCCCAGACCCTTCCCCCAAAGTAGTTGGAATAATCCCTTTACCAGTTAGCAGATGGAATTCCTAAGCCCATAAAAATGTACAAACCCCACACCTCGTGGTTGCTCTCTCTTGCTTTCTGAGGTGGCCTGCACTCCATCTATGGAATGTATTTCTACAAATACACCCCCTGCCCCAGCCATGCCTCACGGACTCTCTGGCCCCCTGAGACAGCCTGCACTCTGTCTATGGAGTATGTATCTCTCTGAATAAATCTACTTTCATTCTACCAAGGCTCACTCTTGAATTCTTTTCGGTGCAAAGCCAAGGACCCTCATTTGGCAGGGCAGGAACCAGGGACTCAACAGAGACCTGAGACATGGCCACCCTCTCACACCCCATTTTTCTGTTTCAGTGTGAAACAGGAGGGAAGGGCCCAGGGCACAATCACTGAAGGAATGACACAGCAATTGAAGACATAACAAACTGGTTAGAACCAAGATGGCAGAAGACTTGATTACCAGTAGACCTTGAGCCTTATGGCGCACCCACAGGTGCCTCGACGGTTCCTAGGCTAACCACAAAAGGTCAAAAAGTAGGTAGGATCAAATTCCTGGAAATCCCCACACTTTCCCCAGAAGAGTTGGAATAATCCTCCTTATCGACATATGAAATTGTTGAGCCCATAAAAATTAACAGCCCCGCACCTTGTGTTTGCTCTCTCTTGCCTTCTGAGATGGCCATACTCTGTCTTTGGAGTGTGTATCTACTTTTAATTTAAGCCAAATACCCCCACACCTCTTGGCCTCTCCCTCTTGCCTTTTGAGATGGCCCACATTCTGTCTATGGAGTGTGTATCTCCCTGAATAAACTAGCTTTCACTTCACTATTTCTTGCTCTGGAATTCTTTCCTATGTGAGACAAGAACCTATTTTCTGGCAACAGTGGGGAGACTGAAG